CCCCGGACCCCAAAACCTCCTCGGGACCCCCCGGGACTCCCCCAAAACCTCCTCGGGACCCCCCGGGACTCCCCGGACCCCAAAACCTCCTCGGGACCCCCCGGGACTCCCCCAAAACCTCCTCGGGACCCCCCCGTGCTGAATAAACGCCCTCGAGCCGCGCCCCCCGATTTTGAGCGATTTTGGAGCTTCCCGGGGGGGTCCGAGGGGGGCGAAACGAGTTAAAAACGAACCAAAAGCTTAATTAGGAAATTAAATAGAAGAATTAAAATTAAACGGAAATTACACAGTAAACGATGCTAAAAGCGAGCGGCGGAAAATTGAATGAAAGCGAAAAATACGTAAAGTGAGGCTGAATGAAAATTAAATAGGAAACTTAAATAAAAATAAAAAATAAAAATAAATAAAATTTAAATAAAATTAATTTAAATAAAAATAAAAATAAAAGCCCAACAAAAACTGGAAACGAGGAAAAACTGAAGCGAGAAGTCGATTTAAAGGAAAAGCCGAATTACAAATGAAAGAAAAGCGTTCAACACAAGAAGAGAAGGCGCAAACGCTTTAAACGTCCCATAAACATTTGAATTGTCCCGGCCCCTTCCCGAGAGGCGCTGCCGGAATTCCCGGCTGGAGCCGCCGCTCCCGGAGCCTTTGGGGGGATTTTGGGATGGTGCCGGGGCCGGGGGAGGACGGGACCGGGATAATTCCCCAAATCCCAACTTTCGGACTCAAAGCGGTCCCTGCTCTCCCTCACCTGGGAACACCCCGGGGGTCCCGTTCCTTCATTTCTCCCACCCGTCATTCTTCTCTCCCCATCCCAAGCTATTTTCCCCATTCCCGATTTTCCCCTGATCCTGATTTCCCCATTCCCGATTTTCCCCTGATCCTGATTTCCCCATTCCCGATTTTCCCCTGATCCTGATTTCCCCAATCCCGATTTCCCCAATCCCGATTTCCCCATTCCCGATTTCCCCGATTCCCGATTTTCCCCTGATCCTGATTTCCCCATTCCCGATTTCCCCAATCCCGATTTTCCCCTGATCCTGATTTCCCCGATTCCCGATTTTCCCCTGATCCTGATATCCCCAATCCCGATTTTTCCCCAATCCCGATTTTTCCCCCATTCCCGGTTCCCCCCGGCTCAGGGAAGGGTTGAAGCCCCGTGTCCCCCCCGTGTCCCCCCCGTGTCCCCAGGTGTCCCCAGGTGTCCCCAGGTGTCTCCCCCGTGTCCCCAGGTATCCCCAGGTATCCCCAGGTGTCCCCAGGTGTCCCCAGGTATCCCCAGGTATCCCCAGGTGTCCCCAGGTATCCCCAGGTATCCCCAGGTGTCCCCAGGTATCCCCAGGTATCCCCAGGTATCCCCAGGTGTCCCCAGGTGTCTCCCGTGTCCCCCCCGTGTCCCCCCGCTCCCAGCCCGGGGACAAAGCCGGGAATGTCCCGCTCAGATTCGCTCCCCCCGGGACATTCCCGGGAATTTCGGGGGCGGGGGGGGATCCCCGGGACCTCCCCCGCTTTTCCCGGCGGGACGGACCCAAACCCGGGGGAATTCGCTGGAAATCTCCCCATTCCTCCCCCTCCGGGGAGCGCCCCGGGATCCGGGATTTGGGTGGGAATCTCTCCGGGGGAAAGGGCCGGGGGCGGCCCCGCTCGATGGCCCATCGGGAGCGGCTGATGGACCATCGGGAAAGGGCCCGGGGCGAGCGCGGCGCGCGGGGGGTCGTTGTCACCTGCCGGGGGGAGGGGAGGCGGCGACTGCCAAATTCCCGGTGCCCCGGTTAACCCTTTCCTCCCGGGACCCCAAACCCCCGCGCCTCGTCCCCTCCCTGCCCGGGGGTCTCCTCCATCCCGGAGACCCCTCCATGAGACCGCGGCATTCCCACGATATTCCCACGACATTCCCACGATATCCCCACGAAATTCCCAGGACATTCTCACGATATTCCCACGATATCCCCACGATATTCCCACGACATTCCCACGATATTCCCACGATATCCCCACGATATTCCCACGATATCCC